AATCTGGAGTGGAGACGAAGCGAGCCACAATGCAGATTCTGCTGCTTAACAAAGAATCCGTGAGAACGCGAAGCTTGGTCCTGGAGCAAAGGCGAATACTAAGGGGGCAGTAGCCAAGGCTGGCGCCACAAAAACAGCAACGCTGGAGGTAGCCCATACAAACCCCTGTAGCCAAGGCTTGGCAGCTAAGCAGAAGAAGCAAGCCGCACTGACGAATGTGGCTTTGGAAGTGCTACTTAGCAATCCAGGTCCACCCCCGTCATGTGCGGATGCCGGATGGTATCAAGGGCAAATAAAGATGATAGCGTGTGACGACGAGAGATCGGTCCAGCTATATAAAGCAGCAATACCTTTGGTGGGAGAGGTCTACACCGGAGCCAAATTGGTGGCGGTAGACAGGAAAGATATCCCATCACGACCGAGAGCAAGGGTATGGATCCCGGCTACACCATCGCACCCGGACCAAATAATGCAGCTCATAAGAGCCTGCAACCCAAATCTGCCAACGGAGGGATGGAGATTCGTCAAGGCCTTTGACGACCCCGCAGCAGAATCTGGAGTGGAGACGAAGCGAGCCACAATGCAGATTCTGCTGCTTCTAACAAAAGAATCCGTAGAACCGCTAGCGAAAAGTGGCGGAGAGATCAACTACGGATTCACAAAAGTAAAGGTCATGACCTACAAATCAGACGCCGATGCAGGAGAAAACTTGGCATCGGAATCGGAGTGCGAAGTCGAGGAAGATCCAGTGGAGTCCTCGAGCGACGCAGAGATCACGGATCAAGGTGAGTGTACTTCGGGGTCTGAACTTGCGGACAGACTCTCTAAACTCTACACTGAGAGTGAGCTTTTAAGCGAATCTCATGATGATGCAGAGAAGACCATAACTAATGCGTCTTCTCCAAATTAATTTACACCACAGCAAACTAGCGTCTCTAGCCCTAGTTAACCGCATGGCAGAAGAACGGCCTGACTTTGTCCTCATTCAGGAGCCATGGGTTAACGGAGGGCGTATTTGCGGTCTGAGGACACCAGGTTACAATCTATACGCGAATGGTTGTGTAGGTAAGCCTAGGACATGTATATTGGCTAATAAAAAGCTTAATGTCTTTTTATTACACAATTACAGTAGTAACGACACTACGGTGGTAAGCTGGGAGACGAGCAAGAGGAAATACCGGCTCGCATCATGCTACATGCCGTACGACGAGGTAGCAGTACCATCGCAGCTGTTCAAGGAGCTGGTACGAGACGCCGAAGCATCCAAGTGTTCGATCATACTTGGATGCGACTCCAATGCGCACCATAATCTATGGGGAAGCACGGACATTAATGAAAGGGGTGAGTTGCTCTTTAATTATCTAATAGGAAATAAGCTTCTGTATGTAACAAAGGTAGTACGCCAACATTTATAACCAGAAACCGACAGGAAGTATTAGATATAACACTGGTATCGGAAGAACTGGTGGATAAAATAACACATTGGAGGGTATTGGAAGAACACTCCTTCTCAGACCACCGCTACATTGAGTGTATAATTGAAGAAAATGTAGTTAGGGAAGAGAAATTTAGGAATCATAGGAAAACGAACTGGCAGATGCACATGCAGGAGTTAAAAAAGCGTATTCCTATGATTCCACCATTCCAACCGGAAAAGAAAGAGGACCTAGACATCCTCGTTAAACGATTCACAGAGTCTTGTCGTCAAGCACTAGAGGTAGCTTGTCCATTAACGCACAGTAGGGGAAGAATTAGATCTCCTTGGTGGACCCCAATACTTAAGAACATGCAGAAGAATTGCAGGAGGCAATTCAATTCTGCTAAACTATCCCAAGAAGATATAGAGTGGGATAACTATCACAACCACCTTCGGGCATACAAAAAGGAGGTAAGGAAAGCAAAAAGAAATTCGTGGAAATCTTTTTGTAGCGACATCGAAGATACAGCAGAAGTGTCCCGACTGAGAAAGATAATGACACTGTCGAAACATAGCATCAGATACCTTCAGAAGCCAGATCACAGCTGGACGGAATCCAGTAAAGAGACTCTGGGCCTACTAATGGACACTCACTTCCCAGACAGTTCCGAGAACCTCACAGGGGGGCATATAATGGGGAGTGAAGTAATCTCAGAGACCCCTCCGCTAGACATAGTGTCAGATGACAATGTTTATTGGGCAATAGGCAGCTTCAAGCCTTATAAAACGCCGGGACCAGACGGTCTATTCCCGGCCCAGTTACAGCAATCCCTGAGCTACACAATAAACTGGATAACAACCATGTTTAGAGGGGCGCTGAAATTGAACTATATTCCCTCGACATGGAGGGAAGTTAAGGTGATATATATCCCAAAGGCGGGCAAAAGCTCACATATTAATCCAAAGGATTTTAGACCAATTAGTCTTTCATCATTTCTTTTAAAAACGCTGGAAAGAATAGAAATACATATAAAGGACATACTAAACCCAAGAAAAATGGCAGTTTCGCAGCATGCGTACTCGAAGGGTAGATCCACAGAAACGGCATTAAGCTCAGTGGTAGCAGAGATTGAAAAATCTCTGGAAATAAAAGAATACACCCTCGTAGCCTTCCTAGACATAGAAGGGGCCTTTAACAACATCCAGCCGAAGGCCATATTGAGCGCGCTTAAAGATCTGGGCATATCTGAGCCTCTCCGGAAATTAATTGAACAGATGCTCTTGGGCAGGTCAATTATTTCAACGCTGGGAGCTTCAACGATGTACAGATCTGTCCGAAGGGGTACACCCCAAGGAGGCGTGTTATCCCCACTTCTCTGGGTCCTGACAATGAATAAAATGCTTGTGGACCTAGAAAAGAAGGGGGTACATGTTGTGGCCTACGCTGATGATGTGACAGTCTCGGTTAGGGGCAAGTTCCCGAACACCCTCGCTAGTCTCATGCAGACAATACTAAACGAGATTAATCGATGGGCCGTATCATGCGGACTGAATTTAAATGCTAGCAAGACAGAACTAGTATTGTTTACTAAGAAACACAGCGCTTTACACATGTAAAAGAATGGCGGGGCCCAGGTGGGGACTGACACCTCGGGTGGCTCACTGGCTGTACACAGCAATTGTAAGGCCGATCATGACCTACGGGATAGTAGTATGGTGGCCAATTACAGAAAAGAAATATGCGATTAGAAGCATGGAAAGTATACAAAGAGCAGCTAGTATTTGCATCAGTGGAGCTCTCAGAACTACGCCAAGCCAGGCACTCAACATAATTTTACACTTGCTGCCAACAGACTTATATTGCAAGCAAATGGCAGCGAAGTCAGCTCTAAGACTGAGGGAAGCCTCCCTATTAGTCGCCTGTAACAAGGGACATTCTAGGATACTTAGGAAGTTCCCGGTTCTTCCCATAACCACGGATTTTCGCAATCCGGTGGAGCTGAACCTAAATCCGGTCCTCAATATTACCTTTCCCTCCAGAGAGGAGTGGGAACGGGATGTAGTGGACAAGGAAGAAGGGATTAGCTTCTATACGGATGGTTCCAAACTGGATAACCGAGTAGGCGGCGGTGTCTTCTCGGCTAAATTAGATACCAAAATCGCCTTCCGGTTACCAGACCACTGTAGTGTCTTCCAAGCAGAGGTCACTGCAATTAAAGAAAGCCTTCTTGTACTAACAAAAAGCGTAATAACAACAAGAAGTGTATTTATATATACAGACAGCCAAGCGGCTTTGAAATCTCTGGTGTCTCATAGGATTTCGTCGAAGACAGTGAAGGATTGCCATGATCTTCTAGCGGATCTGTCATCCTATTTCACTATAAATCTGCAATGGATTCCAGGACACAGTGACATCCCTGGTAACTGCGTAGCAGATGAACTAGCCAGAGCAGGCACCACCCTACAACTAGATCCTGGTAAGGTGGACATAAATATGCCTCTGGCTACGTGTAGATACCTAATCGACAAACATGTCATTAATATAGCCGAGTGTCAGTGGAATCAATCCCTGACCTGCTTAACCAGCAGGCAAACGTGGCAAGTATGGAATATGAGCCGCACATGCCGACTGTTAAAATTCAAGAGGAATGATATAAGAACTCTCGTAGGAGTACTAACAGGCCACTGTCTAATAGGCAGACATGCAAGTAGACTTGGCGCGCCATATAACGACTATTGCAGAAGCTGTCAGGAAGTAGAAGAGGAGGAGACCATTAAACATCTTCTATGCGATTGCGCAGCACTATATAGGAAAAGAATCGCAACCATGGGTCGTGGGTTTCTTGACGACGTCTCGGAGGTTGCACAGATAAAACTTGTCACACTGATGAAGTTCATCAGAAGTACGGGGTGGTTCAGAGAGGAGCCAGTAGAGTGAGGGGATCACAGTCCCAGTGGTATCACAATAGGCCTCCTAAAGGCCTAAGTGTGTCGAATGACAGCCACTTTACCTACCCTACCTACCCTATTCAGACTTTCGCAATCACTAACTTATTTGTATGGTTTTAATTTTTCATTACAGAATTCCAGGAAGCCAATATCAATTAACAAGTAATTCTAATTCGCAATGCTCAAGCTGTAGTTGTTTCAATTTCATTTCAACTGAGCCGAGTTGTGAGACGCAATACATAAAGTTTTGCATCCTTTTTCGTATCACACCTATATTTGAATTACAATTAAAACTGAAATTTATTTTCTCTAGAGGTCCAAGTATAAGTACTAAATGATAAACCTGCTGAAATACGGTGCTCAATCAAAATTTTCCAGAAGTATATTAGACTGCCGCAAATATTGGAAATTATTTTACTTAACTTTATTCCCAACAGGTTATTAAAAAATCATAATAATAAGAATTACTCGTGGTCTGCTCCAGTTTTGGCATTTCTTCATTCCGTAATTAAAAGCTATTACCAGTAACAATATTAACTAGTAAAAGCTATTTATTTTGTATAAATAAAGGGCATCTGAATTACCAATTTTCAAAAAAATTTCACTAAAATACTATTAGAATTATATTACTTACCAAAGGAATATGTTTTTCGAAAAGTATCCAAATATGTTGCCCAAAATAAATTTAACGCAGAACCAGCTACCATTTATACTCAAATAAATCCTTTTTATTGCTTCGCTGGTTCATCAATTGGCAGGTGTTTATAAAATTTTGCTGCGATATTAACGGCATTTGTTAAACACATCGCAAGAAGCGCAACAGTGTCCCAATCAATTATTCATTATTTGTTTTTCAAGCTGTTTGTTTACGCGCACATTTTCATTTCTTTAATGCTTATATATAAATATTTTTCAGATACAACAAAAACAGCAGCAACAAAAGTGATGTGTGAAATTTATGCGCTCATTAGATTGTTTTTCCAAATAACAAAACGATTTTGTAATACTTTTAAATTTAGACACCTTTCATGTGGTCATAGTCGAATGAAAGAAATTCACATAAAAACTAATGGTAGTTCTTGCTTCCGGTGCGATACAGATATACTCTCATAACAATACATACAGACGTATTTCAATGTCACGCATTTGTTGACGACTAATGGCGTTAAATAAAACAGCACACAAGAAATTGTTTTCTTTTTGTAGTATGTTCTTGTATGAGTATGCATACGTTTCTTAGTTGGTTGATATTCTTTGATATGCTTATGTACATTTTAAAAATATTTTCACATAAATATATGGAGAAAAATCATTTAGAATATTTCTAAAATTTATATGGATGTTAATAAATTATTTTCGAATGATAGTAAAAATAGCTAATCTTAAAAATGTTTTTCAAAAGTATATTATAATTACTGCTGAGATCCATTTCGAGTTCTCTTAAATAACTTTAATATAATATTAGGCTAACCTAAAATGCGCAAGATTTCCATGAAACACAAATAGTTAAAGAGAACATGAAAGTCTTTTGTTAAGATTTGCGGATTTGTTTTTAGATTTTGAACACGATACAGTCGCCTTAGAACAGTTGAAAAATTCGAATCAAAGATTGCCGAAAAAATTATTGACAAGTGGCTCTGGTGAAAATATTTCACTTCACCGCATGATGCCTATTAAATATTGTCCAATCAATGGAGCTCCGACTCACTACCAGTGTGATGACATTAGGGCGATAGTACACTTTGTTGGAAGCTCATAGACATTAGTTCCTAGCGATTCTGCTGTGGATAATTACTGCAACAAGTCTAAAACTGAAGAAGATTAATGAGAGCACAGTCAGTGGGATCATGGTCAATATTGCCGCTCTGCTTGCTAGAGACTGAAGTGCTAGGGAATACTAAAACTAGAGTTTATGGAAAGCTTTCGATCGGAAAGAAATCTACAATTTATAAAGGCGTGAATGCATTATCAAAGCAACTGCTGTTTATTATCATGTAGCTAAATATGTGCTCATTTAAATTAAAGACGCGTAGCAAGCTGTTTAATCCCAATTTAATAGCTGTCATTTTACATTTCTCCCAAACTCAAACTTTTCGCATCGACTTGGGTTGTTAGCTGGTTATTTGGTTCGCTGTCTGTTTGAAAAATGCTCGCTTGTCAACTTAACTTTTGTCAGATGAATTACCACTGAATTTATGCTCAACAATCGCAATCGTGCGAGCTTAGCGATAACTGTCATACTTTTTGTTGTTATTATTCTTTTTTCGTTGTCGTTGTTTTTATTTTTGTGGTCGGTAATATTCTTTTTCTGTCTGAAATCCGCGTTTGTAAATTTGAATCCCTAATTTGCCGCGTGCGCCTACAAGTATGCTTCATGCGCGGCATGTACAAGTGCACTCATGCGCATAATTCACATTTTCTAAAATGCTAAGTTAAGTTTTATTGGATTTTCATTTGAGCGCTGGAAAATTGTCTTTAACTAATGCCGATTTTACAGGGCTTAAGGTCGCTGTCTGGCAGGGCCACACAGCCGCACGCGCTCATCTCATATTTAGTCGCGATAATTGGGCAACAATGTGTGTATTGCTGCCGTAGCAGCGCAATAAATTAGCAGCAAAAGCCGAGTTCGAATATTTCAAACATATTGCGCCTCTCTCTAAGTGGCATTGATGCCGCTAGGCAACAGCTGAGATCGCAGAACGAACACTAAAGCAACAAAAGTAATTGCAGCCGAATAAAAGAAATAAAATAACATTAGACTTAGTCCTAACAGTACTTCTGGCAGCAACAGACACATACATACAAACAATTGACATATATGTATGTTTGTGAGAAAGTCGGCTGTGTAAAATGGCCTCAAGAACAATAAAATGTAACGTTGCGTTGCAAATTTACGAGACGTGCCACCATAGTCCAAACAGCGCCACATATGCATGAGCCTGCTCACATGCACACGCACACACAACAACAAAAAAAGAATACTCTTGAATTAGGCGCCACAAAAACCGCATCGAAATCTCCCCCGGCAACGCACTCTCTCTTTACGCTCTGACTCGTTGCGCTGTCTTCGCTCTCTTTTTTATTACACGCTCTTTAAGCTGCATTGGTATTTGTACCGGCAAAATAGCCTAAACTTCTGAGCGTGAACGAAACATTTTAGCCGATACGTGCCTCACAGCTTTACAACCGCTTGCATTCTTTTTTATTAGTTCTCACCCTTCTAGTGAGTACTAAGTATAACTGAATGTAGAGTAGGAAGCAATACTTGTTTCGTTTTACTTAGTTTTTTTCTTTCTGTTATGGTATTGTTTGGTCATTAAAGGAATTTCCGGTGGCCAGCGAAGCGGTAATTCAAAATTCCCCTCTCGTTTAAGCTTACAAGCAGTCAGACAGTTAGTCAGTGAGTTTAGGAAGTCAGCCAACGAAGTGTACTTACAATTAAATTGTATGAAGAATGCGCTCGGCTTCAATTTTTCTGCTCGCTATGTAAACCAGACTTGACCGTTGTGAGTTCTGAAATTAAAGGCGAATTATAAGGACCACGCATACGTGTGTGTATGTACATGTATGTATTAGTATAAAATATAAAAGTTAGAAGCTTTGTTGGTACACGAAAGGAAAACATAAATTGTTAAATGCAGATATCATGGAGACTATTATGTGATTAGAGTACAGTTGCACTAGTGACACACCGGACTAAAATATTTTAAGCATCTCTGGGGCGTATATGAGATGATATTTTGTTATTTAAAAAACTCTAGCAGGGTCTATCGGTTCTACAAAAAAAAATATACTATCATAAATCTAAGCAGACCAGAATTTTTATATACATATAGTTGGATATACAACGAGTTCTAAGATTGCTTCTATCATTGTCGAAAAATAGTCTTGCGATGCATCTTCGACCAATTGCTAGCAACAGGATTTCTAAAGAGGTTATTTTTGCGAATTTGACACTCTTCCTTTGGTGCTCCATATCCAACCATTTAGCCATTTATGTGAAGTTGATCATTTTGATCCAACAATTAAAATTTTAAAATTGTTATTTCTACCTAAAAACTAAAGGTTGGCAAAGCATTACTTGTCATATTTCGAGCTAAAGCTCCTAGATCGTCTTAAAATATCTCTACTGAGTTATCTCTAAAGATTAAAAAATATATTAAATTCTAAACACATTACCTAGAACCTAAGCTTAAAAAAGCAGGTGCCAATTGACCGTTGGTAACTGTTTCATAAATTCTCGCAGCTGTCCTCTTTTGTATGCTTGGTCTTTCGGTATATCGCAGATAATATAATGTTGAAGGGACCCATTAAGCAATACGGAAATTTCTGCATTAAGTCCCAGCAGATATTTGAATGTACTTGTATGTCAAAATTGTGTTGAATCGGATCAATAATTCCCTTAGCCTTCATATAGCTCATAGAAAGATTTTCGAACTTCCGGCCAACTTTATACCAATTATATATTATTAAGAGAGCTTGTTTTTCTAACATCGGTGCATATATCGGCCTAAAATGAATAATGTCAAAAATAGATAAAATCGGGACAGCACTCCCCCTATCTCTCATATAGTATACCCAATGGAAAAAAATTTTCAAACTTCCGGCTGGCTTTACACTGTATATATTGGTCGATATCAGCAAAAGTGATGAACGTATACTCTTGGAAATGCTATAGTTCAATGCCGAAAATATCAGAAACTGGTTCACGAAATTGAATCTTTGAATTTAAATCGTTTTAATATGAAACACCTGAAAGTGTGTTTCCCGGATTTTATCCTTGCAAGATGCAAGATGAAATGTTCAGTAACACCCGAACTTAGCCCTTCCTTACTTGTTACTTTACAACTTGCTAGTTTTGAACTCACGATCCACTAAGTGGAAGTCATATACCAAATAAACTATGCTGTGAACGTTGTCTTCTACTGTATTAGAATTTCGTAATTTCTTTTAATTTATCTATTCATGAAATTTTAATATCGAACACCAATGGCCAAACGAAAATACTTGTAGTCTGTCTTTGTAATCTTGTCACATAAAGAAGAGACATTTTCTAAATCTCAACAATCGATCCAGAGGTCAGAGATCTGTAGACGGAAGCGATAAAAAGAGAGAGTATGTACGTGTCTAGTTAACAGTATTGCGAAGATTACCTTAGTGTAAGTCAAAATGATTGTTAGTACTTTGATTAATATGAGTCAAATAGATGATCCCGAAGCGAAGATTGGATCTAGTTAGAGAAATATCTAGTTTAAAACTAATTTAGTTTAATTTTAATTTACATCGGATGGTGGTAACCGGAAAGATATTGCGTTCAATTAATGAGCTCAGGACTCTCTTCCAACAATATTGCGCTATTATTATGAATGTTAAATATCAACATTAGCAAAAGGGAAATTATTTAAGAAATATTAATGAATTACGGTAAAATAAAAATATATCACAAAAAATTTTTGGTAATAAAATTTTTATTTTTAATCAACTCAATTTATTTAGTTGAATTTTATTTCACATCTGTTATTTTCAATACAGTAAATATCGCTAACTATTTCGAAATTCAAATAACGACTGCTATTATATTCATTCCCCGACTACTAACTGTAGACCGAGGAGGCATAAGTAATAAGAGTGTAGGCATGACACACTTTTGAAAATAAAACTCGACAGCGAAAGCAAATATATGTACAAGTATGGATATATGTCCTCTGTGTGTTTTAAAGCCGCTCAGTGAAAAATCAAAATATAAAAATTAAATAATCGAAATACGCAAAGTTGTTCGCTTTATACGAAATAATTTATATTTAGCAAAAATATTTTTGTTGTCGCTTTTCATTTTCGATTGCCGCGGACTTTTTCCGCTTGCCTTTGTTGTTTCTGCCAAATTGGATGCTTCACTATGAGGTCACTTGGGTTCTCTTCTGTGTAGGTGCTGTTGCTAGTTTAATTTAGACATTTTATTTTTATGCTTTAAAATTTTATGTACAAGTATTATGTATTGGAGAAGGCCGAATCAAACAAACAGCTAGTATAAACCAAATACACTGGCATATTTAAATTGAGTTAGAATAGTAAACGGTTATACCACTTTAGATAATACAAAAATATTCTCTTATAATATAAATTTTCAGCTGTAAAACTTTGTTGCTGCTTTTAATAAAAAAAAATCGTTTGATATGGGAGAAGAATTATAATGGACAACAACTAAATTCGATTCAGAAATTAAAGTAGGAAAAGCACAACTAATAAAATGGATTATATACTGTTAGAGAATATAAACCACGACCATATAATTTTTATTGCTATTATTTACTTGGTCCTTATGATACAGTATCTCTACCCGTCAGAAATTTCAGGAATACCTTGAACAGGAAATTTTTGAAATGAAAGGTAAATAGCTTTATAACTGTAAGCAAATATTATTCATTGTTCAAAATCACACAAGAAGCGGGTAGAAATAAATTTCAGTGGGAATTATATGGTCACCAGTTGTCGCAGTCAGTTTAAATAATATGTTATTTGTATTTTCTTTGCAAATTTGTTACGCTGTTTTAACACCGTTTGCTTTAATTATAATTTATTTCGCTTTATAGTTGGCATTTATGTCTATTTTAGATTTATAATCGAGCATTAGCGCTTATTTGCAGCACACAATTTGACGTCATACGCCACATCGAGGGATTCACTACTATTAAAGAGCTTTCCAATGGTCGAATATATTAATGGAAAGCTTTTTCTTGTCAGAACACTCAAAAACTGTCGAAATTTGAATAAGCCGAATAACACCATGAGAAGCAGTCAAGCTTTCAAAATAATCCTCGACATTATAAATATTAGTATAATATTTACGCAAGATATGAAATATCATATATGTATATGGTAACAAATGGATTCAGACAAGCTACCGTGAAAGATTTTAAAAACTCTCTGAGATGGGTACACTCGTATACAACAACAATTATATCATTAACAACAAGAAACGTTTTAAAAGATGGAGGACAACATTTTCCAGTGAAATTTTAGAACTTTTAGTTATCATTAAGCATTCGCAAACATTTTTTTTCGCAAAATTAATAAATAATTGTTTTATTTCTTAAGATATAGTAACTTTTCGGCTAAAGCACTATGTCAAAGGTCCAATTTTTTTGCTTATTTCAATATTTTTTAATTCTATACATTTTAGAATAGGATTAATTGGAAAGTGAATTTAAAAAGAATGTGATTACTATAGCACAAACTGGTTTCAAAGCATGTCAAATTCACGTTTCTTTAAGCAGGGTAAATACTTACATAAAAAAATGATTGGCGATAGAAAAATTTGTGTTTTTTTTCCTTACTTAGTTTTTACTTTATTTATTATTTTTAAGTTGGTAATACCCAGAAAGAAACGTTGGGGACCCTATAAAGTATATATGTACATATATAAATGACCAAAGTGACGAGTCGATTCGTCTGTCTGTATATACGGGGTATCGATCGTTTTTGAGATATCAATCGGAAACTTTGCACACGTCCTTTTCTCCCCAAAAAGCTGCTCATTCGCCGGAATCGCCGATATCGGCATATGGCCATACAAACTGACTGATCGAAATCGAAAAATATATCTTTGAACACCCTAATGCTATAACGTTTTTTCTTGTTTTAAATCAGCTGAGTAAAATTTCAGTCTAGACAGAAAGAAATAAACAGTTTTAACAATTTTTTATATTATGTTCTTAACCTATATGATTTTAGCGAACACTTCGTTCGTTCATGAAAGAATATTTAACAATTAAAACACACCTCTAAGCAGTTTGGTCTCATTTAATTAAAGCAGTGACAGAAGCAATAAACTCGGGAATTTTTTATTTTGGTTATATGATTCATATTAAAAATATATACTTTTTAAATTTTTATTAGACAGGCATAATTTTGTTGCCAAATGCTTTTATTTTTACCACAAATCACCCGACAAATAAATATTGTATGTAAAATATTTCTAATTAATAATAGTACAAATATTTCAAATATTGTATTTTTGTTGCTATTTCGCTGAAATTATGCCACATGTACAGATATGTTTTTGTTTTTGCTTTGTTTCACTAATCATGTGTATAGTCTTAAATTAACTTTGGCCTCAATTTTTTATATCGAGCATATTTTGCACAATATTCTTTTCACAATCAACTGAACACACTTTTGCTACATTTCGCCTTTGAATCCACTTCAGGGAGTGAACAAATGTGTCGGCTTACCAGAAGAATTCAAAATTTACGATTTACTTTTCCACTTGTGTCGCATAAAATTCACAAAATCGTGAAAATCAAATTTAATTTTTGTAAGAGCTTTTTATTTTTATTTTTGTGTGTAGTAATTTACTTTTTTATTGTTGCTACTCGTTTCCTTTTGATCACAACGGTTCCCGGCTGTCGTCGTCGTACACACAGCAACACAATAACGGTGTTTTTTTTTAAATTAAATGCTTTTCAAAAATTTATGAGTGTGTGTTTGTATTATGTGCAAGAGAATTGAAAACGGACGCGTTTAAAATGAAATTCAACTCGAATAAGCGGAAGAAACGGGCCGCAAAACACTTGAACACCGCACGACGTTTGAAATGAAACTGAAATGAATTCCACTTGACGAGCTGGCTGGCTGCCTTTGCGCTGCGCGGTCGGAGCACAACACAAGCGACAGCGGAAGCACAACACGGCAAAAGGAGCGCGCACAACAGTTGGCCAAAACGAAACACAACCCAGCACAATGTGATACAGCACGTCTGCCGTCGCCGACAGCCGTCAACCGTAGTTAAATGGCTGGACAGACGAACTGCAGGTCGACGACGCTGTGGCAGCAGACGGTCGTCGAGAATTGGTGGCAAGTGGCTGCTGACATTCGCTGTGAATAACTGTTAGCAACATGAATGAGTATGTGGCAAGACGCCAACGGACAAGGGTTAAGCGAAAACGCTTCAAAACAGTAAAATAAAGAATGAAAGCCATGCGAAGAGAAACAGTTAAAAGCAAAGGCGACAACAAACAGTCATCAACCCCTAAAAAAGTGCCACACACTCGCATATAAACGCGCGCTCTCTGAGTGTTTACCTCAAGCGCACTAATGGCTCAGAGAGAATGTGGCTAAATTATTAGTGTAAATGTTGCCGCTTCATTGCTCTTACCACCTATGTATGCTGCTTGCTGCAGCTGCCATTCTCGCAGCCAAATGACGTGTGTGTGTGTATAAGTATGTATAAAAACCAGCGTGGCAAAAGCAACGAAGCGCTGTCGCAAACAGAAATTGGCCCTCATGCCATGTGAACTCAATTGTGCGACAAGTGGCCAACAGTAGCAAAAATATATGTAAATAACAGCAAACATTTGCGCTGAGAGCAAATTGAATTTCGTGCGGCATTCTTTAACGAGCGCCAAAACAGCTAGAGCAAGCGATCCATTTGTGTTTGATTATAAATTTCAATTCTCAGTTCGTCCATTCGTAAATCTATTTTTTCGTAGGAAATAGCTCTTGTGTTAATGAAGAGATTTTCTATTTCTAATAATGGATAATCTCCACATTTTTCGCTGCAATGTACTTTTTGACTTTTTGTTATAAAAATGATGGTTTTTCGCCGTCTAATGTAAACCAAAAAAATTTTCAATATTTCTCCTTCAGGGACAAATCTTTAACATATTCGAATTATTCTTATACTCGTATTAGTTAGGCTTTTTGAAATTAAATAATTCTTACATAGCACTATAATATTCAAAATCTATGACCCGTGAATCTTTTCAAATTTTCAAAATCCTCGAGAGAAGTTGAAAACTTTCTACTTAAGACATCAATAAGCTTTTTTTTAGTGCTATAATAACAAAGTCCGAGAACTACTTTTCTCTGCGGTTTGGAATATTATATAGGCTTTCGAAGGGTTTTACTTCATGTAGATAATACCACGAGACTCAAATTTCTCGAAAATTTGACGCAGGTTATTTAAGCGATTCGGTGTTCACCTCGCATCAAATTTCACATGCTAAATTGTTTCTAGGGTGGTACGACTTTTTCTTATGTATATGTGTATGCATGTTTAACAAGTAAGTGCAGGTCGTGAGATTATGAACAACTTGGCATATATTCTAAACATGGCTTTCTCTATATATTTCGATTATGAAGCATGCGTCACTGAACTTGTACCACAAGAGTTAGGGACGACGTAAACATAACAGCGCTGTACCGTGTAAGAAAACCCATGTTGAGGTCCTATGCTCCAGTGAAATAAGAAATGTCTGGGAAACATTGTTGTTGTTAGTTTGATTGTCTTGATTTCGGAGAAGCTTATTCTTGAATGCGATCAGAAAAACATTGAAAGTAAATTTTTATGTGACTTAAGTTTTTTTTATAAAATATGTCTTTTTTTTAATTTTACGAATATATATATTTTTTTACACATACAGCCCTTCACTCAAAGCGTTATTTTTCTCCAACAATTTTTTGGACCGCTGTGTAATTTATACACAGTGTTTTAAAGATTAGATCTTACTACATAACTTTTTGATTCAATGTTACTGTTGCCCTCTACCTTGATATAACACCGCTTAATTTTCATCTCACTCCACTCTCGCCAAATGTATAGTATACCGGATTATTTAAAAGATATATACACATATGGCCATATGTATATATTATATACGTCGTCGATCTTGGCTGTTGAATTTTCTAATGTCTAATTGTATATTCTATAAACAACAGCGGATTTAAAAATGGCACAACTGCTAGCTTGATTCTTAACGTATTCCTTTCTAAAAATTCCTTTAAAAAAACGAAAATAAATGATTCGCCGTTAAGCCAGAAATTTCCAGCGCATTAAAAAGTTCAAGTTCACTTGTTATATAAATAAAATGTGTACACACACGAGCACACTCGAACGTATACTATATGAACTTAAATTTACACCAGCGCGTCTCAAAATAGCTCATGCAAACGGTCCAACTAACACAAATTCAAGATCGCGCATAGATTTAGTGCAAATGGGAGCCACATTTTTCGTATGCACTATGCACTGGAATGCCTACTAGAACCTACTCGCTAGGAGAAAGACACGATAAAATATTCACAATTCATACGAAGCGAAATAAACAAAAACATGGTCTTATATAAATGGTATAAATATTTATAAAAATGCGCAGTTGCTTTGGATAATTTACGACTTTCAGTTGTCACGTTGCAATTTTACGCATGTTCTACAATAATCTCTGCATCTTGAGTATTCCGGACATAGTATTGGAAATCATTTTATTTTATATTAACAAAAAGGAAGTTACCAAAACAAGCTACAGTAAATTCCTGACGTTTTACCCTATAGAACCGTTGTATTCACTTCACCGAGTAATAGATTTCTTAAAAGTATTTCTTTCATACAAACCAGCGATATTTCTCACCTTTTTAATATTCAGGTCATATAAAATTTCAGATAACGGTCAAAAATATACCGGTCTGATACTAAATATTAAGAAAATATAATTAAGGGAAAAAGAAAATAGGTAAAAAAAATTTTTAACGATCTTATAAATATTTATTCATTAAACTTAGTTTAAAATATTACATGTATCAAATTTGCGACCTCAGTTTTACTAATTTAAGTCTTACGCTTGAAGAATTTAAATACATGTAACTATCAAGAGCAAAACTCATACGCTTCAGCCGACTTCAGTGTTTTTTTTTATGTTCGGCCATAAGATTTCTCATATTTGTTTTCACATTTATTCTTCCTCATTTTGATGTACTGTAAATTTTGTATAAAAATAATAAAATGATTCAGGATTAGAAAAAAAATTATAGTGAGTTATAGCCTAGTTAAATTGAAACCACCATAATTCGTAAAAATGTGATTCTTAAAATTTAGTTTTTTCTGATCATGTACCGTTATTATACTTGTGATATACTATGTATATATTTATGTATGTACATATGTAGATAGATAAAACACTGAAACATATGGCAAACCCATTTCAAAATTTGACAGAATTAACATGAAAACTAAGAGATTCACTGAAACATTCGGCGAAATGGAATTGAAAGAAACTAGAGACTTGTTGAGTAATTTTTTTTTTAATATATGTTCAATCTCATTCTTATTTTTAGTAATAGAGGAAGGCAAATAAATAAATATGAACCACCACAAACGTGGAAATCGTTAAAAACGCCAGAAGCATTGATAAACGGGACAACTACGGTGACATTTGCCATTCCCATGGAAAGCTGACTAAATGCCACGCCGAATGTTTCGCCCGTTTGTGCGAGCTGCAAGTGAATTCGGTGCGGTGGTTGTTTGTTTGACGGACAATCTGAATATTTTGCCGTTTCGCTGGTCATTTGGCCCAAAGCCAAAACAAACGCGCGTCTAACGTACAATCGAAAAGATGCAAGAGCAAAAACGACAAAAATAAATATGAAAATAGTCGCTAAAAGAAGGCCGCTGCTTAAAACGCTTATAGCTAGAAAATACCACCAAATCATGCGCCGAAAGAAAAGTCTCCAAAATGGTGAAAAAATTATAGCAAACTCTGCTTTTCTGGAATAAAATGAGACCATAAATGAGAGTGAGAGCGTAATGCCGGTACATCTGCTGAGCGGCTGCTGTTGTTTTGGTTGCGCAAGCCGTTACACACTCACATACACACATATATATATTATATACTTCGTGGCAGCTACTAAAGGCAATGCATACGGTAGCAGCTGCAGGTCAAAAAGACGAATCAGCTTAGCAAAACAAAAATACCGATAACGTTAAGTCATTTCAAGTGTGATTATCGATCTGAAAGATGATTTTTATTTTATCTTTAACATGTTAAATAAATCTAAATATATATATGTATGTACATATATAAAATGTAAATGTATATAAAATATATGTATGTATATTTCATATGACCCAGAATAATTTTCTCTTATTATAAATTCATCTATTCAAACTCTTTCACCTGCTGCCCATTCGGTACAATAGCTCAACACCTGTTCGCTCGAGTGCCTTAATTATTTTATTGGGCGCTAAGTCAGATAATTATGCAACAGACAGCGTATGGTTAAAGTAAAGAAGAAACAACACAAATCTTTTTATTTAACAATCCTAAGAACAGGTGTAGGTGATTCTTTCCAACAGCGCTCAGACAGATACAATGATGCTGCAATTTTTGTATCAGAAAAGGTCAAAAGGTAGTAATTAAAACGAGAGAGAAGCGGACATATCCTCTGAGAAATCGAATAGAAATGTCTTAAGATTGCAAATCGGATTAAGGTCCGTTTTCTCAAAGTCTGGTTAAGCGTTTAACCAGAATTTTATCTACAATATATTGAAAAATTGTTTTCTCAATAAATTGTTAGCAACCATCTCTCAGTTAAGTTCAGGTAAACTTTAACGAATGACAGATGTCAACTGTAATATCTATAAGTATAGACGGAGTTCAGACGGAGATTCTTTTGTCGCTCGTTATCATTATTTATTAAGCATAATTGCATTCATATATGCTTATTACATACAAAAAAGAGTAGGAACATTTAAATATCCGAACATAAAGTAAATAATCTTTTGAAACAGAGGGCTGTTGCAACGATGAAAGGAATTTCAAAATGAAAGGGAATGCCGAATTCCGTAGCAGCTCCCAGTTGGGCGGCAAAAAGTGTCCTCGTCTGAACATGCAGAATAATGCTCAAGAATAATCAAACTATCTGTAGGTCAGCTAACCACAACTTGGTGGAAACGATTTTGTCAGTTAAAGCTATCATCCAGTTAAGCTACCAGCGGTTAAGGATAATATTAAGCAGACATTGGAAAAACGGTCCTAAGTAAAAACTTTCTCTCTATTGTGAACTTTTTTAAATAAAAACGAAATGAAAACAAGATATAATTTATAAGGATGCCTGAATGAAAATTTCAACAAGTTTAAGGAAATTTTTTGTAGTTGGACTCCCTGGTTTCTTAAAGTTTTTGTATTTAACGGATGAATTTCCATAAATCGTCAAATTAATTATCTCATATTGTAGAAACGGTTAGTTAAAAAATATCTGATATGTACTGTGTTATTCATACTTCTTGAAAACGGGTGCAACGACCATTTTAATTAAAATATATAATTTTATGCCATTTATAATTTGAACACAATGTGGGCTGAATGACCACCACGGCTCGAAAGAAATAACCCGATGATGAAGCCATACCACATTCTGCACCAAACCCTCAATTTTTGGAGATGTAATGGCGTTTCTGAACCACACGGGACTTTGACTCACCCCATAGCGACAATTATGTTTGTCATTAAGCCCAAAATGGGCCTCATTCGAGAAAATCATATTTTCTCAAAGAGCCCTTACAGTAGTTAGGAGAACGTGAATTTGCGAAGTAATCTTTTACAATTTCCAAGCGTAGAACCAAAATGGAACCTGACTTGATGAAGTGATTGTCAAAATCACGTCAACCCTATTGATAGACACTGTATTGGTAGTTAGCAGTACAGAAACAGAGCTCTCTTTTGATTGAACTAGACCAAATTTAAATGCCTAGTCCAAAAATCAGGTATATTAGATGAACGGTTTTATTTTATTGTAGGCATTAGTGTTTACATACATTTTTCAACTTTTATATTATTTATATTTATAGGCTGACAATACGTTTTTTATTCTTTATTTTCAGCTTCCAATAGTCAGATTTCGTTATTTATGGTGAGTAAGTCTAATAATTCTAGGCAATTTAAAAGTAATTTATATATCAGCATTTAAGTAAATTGAATATGAATAATCCTTA